CGAGCAACATCAGGTCAGACGGCGGGACTGCTTGTAAGCCCAGTCGTTTTGTACAGCTGTCGTGCTGTGGCTTTAGCGCCAATATCTGTTAGATGATTTCTTACCTCTTCTTTTGTCCTTCCGCTGGTATGGGCTGGCTGATGAATCATAGTAAGGTTCTCTGGCAATTGTATAGCCTTTAACAGTTCGGTAATTTGTAGAGCATTTGATATTTTACTTCCACTAGAAGTTATAAACCCACGCAGCTTCCATAACTGCCCAGAACTGTGGCATGCTCCAAATGCCTGTTGAGAATGAGCATAAATATTTGTCATATATATTTCATAAATATTTACAGTCTTTTCTTTGGCTAGCTGATAGACCTTTGTTAATGCAATTAATTCGGCTGCTTGTGCACTCAGCTTCTGACCGAGTGGTGAAGCCTCCACTACTTCATTCACAGTAGTTACTGAATAACCTGTAACCTAGTTGCTGCTCAGATAATGAGGACACGCCAACGAATAGTTCCAGATTGGGATTTAAAAACGGCATGTCTGTTAATTCTTCTTGAGTCTTTTCGGCTTCACGGGTGGTTACTACACAGTCGTGGTGTGGAGTTCCTTCCCCAGGTGAAGGGAGTACAGTAGCAGGGTTCAGCGTGGTAGTTACGCTATTATAGCGAGGCTGTTCCTTGCCCTTCTTGTACAAATAAGGTAAATGGTTTACCACAGTCTGGCAGTCCCAGGGAAGATGCAGCTTGCTTCAAAAGTTTTGTCATGGTTTAACCCGACACAGTCGTGGTGTGGAGTTCCTTCCCCAGGTGAAGGGAGTACAGTAGCAGGGTTCAGCGTGGTAGTTACGCTATTATAGCGAGGCTGTTCCTTGCCCTTCTTGTACAAATAAGGTAAATGGTTTACCACAGTCTGGCAGTCCCAGGGAAGATGCAGCTTGCTTCAAAAGTTTTGTCATGGTTTAACCCGTCATGCAGCTAAACACCACATGGCAGCTCGAACCCCTTCATCTGCTGCCAATATCTCTTTTTCAGTTGGAGTGTAGCGGGTCTCAGATCCTCTGTATCCCCGACTCCAAAACCCTAGGGGTCGACCTCGAGTCTCCCCAGGTGCTTTCTGCCAGAGGCTCCAGGTGGGGCCGTTCTCCCCGGCTGTGGTGTAGAGCACATTTTTTACATCTTGTCCTGCCCAGACTTGCCCAAGGGCTATTGCATGGGGTATCTCCTCTTTAATTTGTTCAAAGGTTTGTTGTTGCTCAGGGCCCCATTTGAAATCGTTCTTCTTCCGGGACACTTGATAAAGGGGGTTTACGATCAGACTGTAATTTGGAATACGCATTCTCCAAAAACCCACGACGCCTAAGAAAGCTTGTGTTTCCTTTTTGCTAGTTGGTGGAGACATGGCTGTTATTTTGTTGATCACATCCATTGGGATCTGATGA